TCAAGCAGTGGCTGTACAAGCACCGTGACAACCCCTACCCTACCAAGACCGAGAAGATCTTGCTGGCCCTCGGCTCCCAGATGACCCTGGTGCAGGTAAGGGACACCCCTATCCCCACCTCCGGCGGCTGCTCTGGGGCGTTTCATGGACGGGAGGGACAGGGAGAGCGTCAGCCAAAGCCCACCTTGTGAGCTGAGCACGGAGAGCACCGAGCATCCGGGGAGGCACCAGTGCAGCCAGCAAGGCCAGGAGTCCTGTGCTCATCGGTCCCTTCCCCGGGCTCCAGCTCCAGCAGGACTGTATCTCCCAAACGGCAATTCCCACATCTAGGCTATCCTGACCGGGGAAGCGCTAAAGGCAATCGGCAAAAGGTGTGTGCTTTCCTTCCTAGAAAAAGAGGCCCTCGTCCTTTAATCTCATTCATAAATACAGTGGAAATATTTGTGCTTAGTCTTTAAAAATATTCAGGTAAAAAAAAAATCAGTAATGGGAGGTTTCAGCATAGAACAGGAACTGTTGAGGAAGTTGTAGGGAGTTACACTTTTCCCTTTTGAAACTGGGCTAGAATGGAAACAGTTGTATTGTTCTGATAATAGTCATCACCTGTTGCACAGACGTTAGTGTTACCGTACACACTGTGTGCAGCGGCTCAGCATGCGGTGACTGTGCTTCACAGTGTTGCAGGAATTGTCATTATAGTTTAATTAGCCACGGGGAGTAATTGTTTCGCTGTCAGGTAAAACTCCGCTGAAATGACTGGCAGTGGTGTTGCAGAAAGAGGTATAACCTTGGCTGCGAATGTTTATAAATCTTACTTCTTTGTTCTCTTTGCCATCTGGCACTCTATTGAAACATGCAGTTAAATGCTATCGGTTGCCAAGTGATGCTATCTCGGTTCTGGATGCTGCAAAGATTTATGCATTGCGAATAATCTAATTTCCTTACTGGGAGCTACTACTGGGTGCATAAAATTAAACACTTGTGTATGCAGGATCGGGTCCTCAGCGCTCGGCCTAACACTTTATGTGTCACTTTGGCAAGGACATGAAAACATCAAAATAACATGAAGTATTAGAAAAAGAAGGTGGTAATTCAGCATTATTATTTTGAGTGCTCCTTCAAGAAAGCTAGTGCTATGAACTGCAATCCTAGTAACAGCAAAATGGGAAACTTTTACAGTTTAGTACCTCACTGTGAAATTATTGCACTAGAAAAAAACACTAGAGCTTTGACAAAAATAATATTAATGCCTCAGAAAATGCCAGTTATAACTGGAAGACATAGTTAAAACAACTTCTCTTGCTTTTGAAAAATATATGTGAAAGGTTTGCTGAGACTTCTAAAAAATACGGTTACATAAACACTATCCATTCAATGCCACAATTCAATAGGAGTAGTTTACTGGACTATGGTCTTTAGAATATTCCTGTATTTTTGCATGAGAGTTAAAACATACGTCCATTGGGAGACTTTCACATTAATGACGTCTTGAGGAGTTCTCCTGTTCTTTTATAAATGCCGTGGAATGAACAGACAAGGGAAGAATGATGGGTTTTTGCTGTATTCCTCTCGTGGTAGCTTTGATAAATCCTGATGGGGATATGCTGGGTTTGCCTCTGCAAAAGCATCAAGTGAGCCATGGCCACTACTCCACAGAGTTTTACAATCTATGTCAGGCTTAGAATAAAATTAAAAAGAACCGTGGAGGGCTACATTTATCTTTGCAAGACCCACATGACTCCAATGGATTTACACTGAAGCTGAATTTGACCAGCCTTATTTCTATGAACTGTAATACTTGAAAGAGCTGTGCAAACCAGGGCATCTATCTTCATTTACAGAAGAACACCATCAAAAAGAAACCCCAGATGTTTCTTCCATCATTTGGGTGCAATGCTCTTTTAATCCAGGAATACGATAGCATCTGTATGAGGGGTAAATACGTTTGTCTGGCACCAGCAGTAATTCCTCAGCCTGGAAGAACAAAACAACATACACCCCACATCTACTTTTCAGATGCCCAGAAAAAACAAGACTGTAATGCAGATCAAAATTCTTGTTCTCTGAGAGTGAGGGAGAAAGCGCTAGGCTGTGATCTCAGTCACACTTGATACATTTGAAATAGCTTCTCCAAAGGCTTCTGGTGAGTGGCGTAACCAAGAGCAGGCTCGGGACTGGGCTTTGTTATCTGTTGGAAGGCTTTACTTCTGTCCCAGGAGGGGCACTTTGTGAAAGCATCAAGCAGGGTCTCTTGGGATTGCTTTTTTAATCTGGTAACACCAGACATCATCGGAGAACGAGGAATCAGTGTATGTTTTTTCTGGGTCACACGCCCTTATGTTCGCTGACGTGTCTCATATTTCCTGCTCTTCTTCCACTTCTCGGTGCTGGCCTTGTGTTTGTTCTTGGTGGGGCTGTGCGCTTGCCCCCCAACTTTCCACTCCTGTTGTCTGCTGACAGCTATTACCTCTCCTCAGCATCCCTCCTGTGCTGATGCCTTGTCTTTGGAAGGCCTAGGGAAGACAAAAATTCCCTTGAAAATCCCTTTGTGTTTCCACCAAAAGGCTCTTTAGGGAATGAATGGTTGAGGTTCTTTGTTTTTCACCTGACTGCTGGCCTTGGAAAAGATCTCCAGCAGCTGCCTGGAAGATAAGATTGGTCACAGTAATATTGATAATATAGCTGTAACTCTTCTCCACATGCTTTACTTTAATCTAATGAACTTTATTCCCTTATGCACCATCTGTCCAAAGGAGCTTTTGCAGGACTGTGGCATATATAAAACCAACCCTTCTGTGAGACAAGGTGAACATCCAGCCCTGTTTTCTACTATTATTGTTAGGACAGTATCTGCATGTCAGGTCTTCCACAATTTCATTTTTATTAGTTTTGCTGTCACCCAGTTGTCTGATTTTAAATTAATCTGTTCTACCTCACTAACCCCCTGTTCCTGGGTGCAGTGGGATAGCAAGGGGCTGCTCCAGCTGCGTGTCCAACAGTACTGCAGAAGGAAAGTCAAACTCTTTCAAGGAGGTATGATTTCACAGGAATCAAAAATCTTCTCGTTTCTTAATAAGTAGTAGCAAAAACTGGGGCAATTTCTGGGCTGACTTATTCTTGAGCAGGCCAGCAAGGTCTTCTGGAGTGCTCAAGGCAAATGTTATTGCAGCCTTCAGTCCAACAGTTTGAAGTTTTCTACTTCCCCAACTGCCAAAGCAGGAAACCAAAAATGCAATATAGTTTGAAAAGCCATTTTATGTTTTACTCCAATTAGATTCCAATTCAGAATCCAATAATTTGTCCTATTAACATGCTATTAATATGCTACATTTTCACTTGTATTATTACCGCAGTGCTTGATTTATTTTATTTTAAATTTTGGTTTAGACATCCTTGTGAAATAAAAGAGAAAAATGACTGTATATTCCTTCCAGAAAGAAATATGAATGGCCGTATTGTCAAAGAGCATTTTTTTTGCAATACTAGGATTAATATATTAGTCATGTGCTGCTATGGATTTAATAGTATTCAGATTCATAAAGGCATACCTGGATTACTGGAGGAGAATCGCTTAATTTCTGTTCCCTTTCTGAAACTTTGGCCACTCTTAAGCAGTGAAGCAGAACAAATTACAATAACATTGAAGGGTCTCTTCAGAAGCAAAGCCAGAGGGTCAATATTTCATGATGCTGATATAAGTACCTGATGCTCTTTGGGAATGACTGAGCTTCTGTAAAATATGAATGCTGGAAAGCACATCTGTGATCGTTCTCCTTGGATTTTGTCTTTTTACTTCTTGAGGATCTGCATGATTGTTACTGTACAAGAACAGTGAGTTTCACCACTTAGTTCATTGGGAGGTTTCTGAGACAAAGATTCTCCCACCAGCCCGTATGTAAATCATTGTTTTGAGTTTTTTTATTATTTTTGGAGGTCACAATAGTGTAACATGGGGCCATCATAAAGGATGGCTGGCTTTTGGCATCTTAGGTTGTTTCTTTTTGTAATAGCTTAAAGTGTGGTGCCAACAGGCACTTGTAGAGAGTGGGACCTACAGCAGTACGCATGCAACTACTTAAAGACCACATGGATACAGAAAGTACCATTTGAGGCCAGTTGAAATTAGTGACAAAACTCGCTTTGGCTTAAAGGAGGCAGGAACAGCCTGTAATAACCCAGGCGGTGGCTGGAGTTTGGGTGAGCGTGCTGTCTTGGTGCAGCCTGCAGCCGTGCAGCCTCTTCCAGTCCATGCACCTGGAGATTGTCCAAGACTGAAGAATGGGAGAGATGTTGAAACTCGTGATGTCTTAGAGATCAGTATTTTCCAGCAACATCCAACAGTGCCCAAGAGCAGGAAAGCACCCAGAGATACCACACCATAGATCTAGCCTAAAAATCTCTTAAAGTGGATTTACCTAACTTTCCTTCAGCTTTAATGGACCTTGTTGTAATTGCATTTGGGGCAAGAGTTTATGGAGTGAGTTTGCTCCTTTGTGCTTTAGCAGAAAGCTTCTCTTGTAAATGCTGACTTCAAGTTCTTTCATAATGATTAAATACTACTATTTCCTCCTCTCGTAGCAGAAGACTTACAACATGACTCATCTTTTCATATTGATATGCAGAAAGCAAAGCGTTGGCATGGGAAGAGTGAGCCCAAAATAAACCAAGAGTACCATGCGAAAATCAGTCCTGCTAAATTTAATTGCTTTTATGGATGAGTCACCATACTACCCTAATACTACCCTATCTTTCTTTTCTGTACCATGGCACTTCACTGATGAAATATTTCAATACGTAATGAAATGGAGCATAGTGAAATCTTTCTCATGAGAGGTTGGAAAGCTGTCAGTTTTGTAAGATGTTGCAATAACGGCTATAATAATCAGTGTAACCCTGGATTGATCCATCTCTGTCATTACAGGCTTGATTTCAGAGTTATATTAAGTCGTGCAGCAGCCAGGTGACTGCTGCTTCAGCTGAGCAGTCTGGAGTGAGTTTGTTAATGGCATTAGAAAGTGGATGGATTCCAGCCCACCCTTTCTGGTTTACTGTAATGATTACTGTGTCAACATGATGAATATAAACAAGTAGCCTTGGAAGAGAATGAAAATTACTTACTCTTCTCTGCCAGCTACAGTTTTGGTCTTCTAACTTGTCATAGTAAACTACATGGTTTGTAAAGTTATGTGTTTGGCATCTGAGTGCTGATCCAGGGCTCACAGTTTTTTTGGTGGAACCCTGTTTCATGTAAATATGATTTTAAGTAAAATCAAAGTGATAGGCTTAAGGCACCACTTCTAAGTTCTGTTTGGGACTCTGAAATAAAGTTTTGTTTTTGCTTCAAGCAGATAGTGTTTATTTTTCTCATAATCACCCTAGAAGCAATTATCAATCCATAATAATTAGCCAGATACTTCTGTGTGATTTATACAGCCTTAGCTACAATAGACAGACGACAAAACCAGGGCCAAAATACAACGCTGAGGTCTACAGTTTAGCCCTCTAGTGGGTGGGGTATCATGTATTGATAAAATACGTGTTAACTTGCTTTGCAGGTTAACATGAATGGCAGGTTAACATGAATGGAATGGTGTGATTGTTCCCAGATCAGAATATGACTTCCTATGTGTGCACTTCCACAACATAAAGATGTGAGCGGGGCTATAGACTCTCCCGACATTCTTTACATTCTCCTCTGCAAATAATGCTGCTCTGCCTCCTTCTTGCAGAGGTCACGTCAAAGTACACTTATTCCAGCAAGTAGTAAATAGCATTTTTAACACTTGATTTATCATTAAACAAATATTGTTAGAGGGTAGGTAGCTTGCCTCTGCTCTTGCTCATAGTAAGGTTATGGTAAGGTCACTCTGTCAGTGTTTCCTGGTTTATGTATTATTAAGTTACAGTAGAATTAAGGCCAGTGTTTTCTCAGGTATGCGTTCATGCAAAGTCACTGGAAGTACACGCATCCCATTTGGTAGCTTGATTAGCACTGCTGGCACAGAAGACAATACTGTGCCCTTTTGGTCCTTTGGTACCTAAAGCACTGTGAAATCCTTGTGTTTGAGCCTGACTTTGTGGTGACCCTGTATGGTAGAAGGATACTAACGTGTATCCATTTTGCAATGTCAGCCTGTAGAAAATGCTCTGCAGCTGAGAAGGAAGACAAGCCAGTCTCTTACTTAGTGGTCCCTGCGTGAAGGATCTGCTGCTTCACTGCTTTTTAGGGTTTCCACAACAGGAGTTCATAAAAGCTGCTGCTCTGTAGAGCAAGTGGTTGATTTCATGCAGTGACTCAATGTTGCATTGTATAAGACCTTTCTGATACCCACCATCTGTCAGAATACTGACGAAGCAGGGAGAATTTGGGCTTTTATATAAACAATTTTAGAATGAGTTTTTCTGTTCAACAGCCTTATTGTAGCCTACATAAATGTCAGAGGCAAATTACTGAACATTAGCTACTAGCTTTAATTTAGGATGTTAGTAATATATCGATGTTTCGTATTGAAAGTTAAGGGCATTATCTTTTTTTTTTAAAAAAAGAAAGATTAAGATAAAATAAGTATTTTGGGCCACCTTAATTAAAACCTTTTCAATAATGAGGGTTTGATAATGCTTGGGAAGGGTGGGAAGCCTGAATCTCCCTTCTTGTCTGAGGTTCCTGCTCTGCTTGGTGACAGTTTCATGGACTCCTGTTCATGTTTCCCTTGTTTGCTCTTTTCTTAGGGCATACATACAACTCATTAAAACCCTCTGGGTTAGATTTGTTTATTTACATTGTTTTCAAGATAAACTAATACATTCATTTGTATGCAGGTATCAAACTGGTTTGCCAATGCAAGACGCCGCCTTAAGAATACTGTCAGGCAACCAGATCTTAGCTGGGCTTTACGAATAAAACTGTACAACAAATACGTTCAAGGAAATGCTGAACGACTCAGTGTGAGCAGCGATGACTCATGCTCTGAAGGTTTGTTGGTGCTCTTTTTATCAATTTTAAACCAATTAAAATATATCTAGAAGCTATCAGACATCCTAAGTGAGCTCTGATTTCTCACAAAACGCCCTCCGTGGATCCGCCTTTACTTTTTGTGAATTAGGCACCATTTTTGGCTCCCAACTACTGTGGAGCCTCTCAAAGCAGGATTGTGTAGGTTAATTGGGGTGACAGTCTGGCTGCATGTTATTTGCCTGTTTCGTATAGCATTGTTACTAGAAAGAGAATTGTTAGTTTGTTAGATTCTACAAGCCTATTCCTTTAATCTGCATTAAAGTAAAAAAAAAATTGTTACATTTGTTGGTTTAAGGAAATTAGAAGTTGCTTGACTGTTACTTTCCTTGATGGAAGGGCTATAGCAATATCACATAATTAACAAGAGATTCTAATTAACAAGAGAATCTGGTTAACTTCAGTGGGGCTTGTTATATGGTAAACTGAATATTATTGTTATTTATTTTATGTGTTTTACCAACAAATGTTTTCCTTGAAAGGTGCACTGAAATTCTCTTTCTTATCCAAATTAACAAATGCAGGAATTAGCACCCTATATTTTTTGAGAGAACATTTCTATTAATTATGTTTGTGGGTACTTTTTTTTAGTTGGTTGTGACATGGAGATAGATTGACAGGAACAAATGCTGCAGAACATTGTCAGAAATGTGTATGTGAATTTTTAGAAGAATATGTTTCAATTTGTACTCAGTTTCCATTCCCTTTGTTCTGATTTCGGTTTGTACTCACATTTCATTGGTTTGCACGTCCCTTTAACACATCAGTTGCAGGACAATTAGAAGAATATAGCTCAAACAAATATGCTTAAGTATGTGTCATGGTTTAGAAAGGCCAGAGGGACAGTCCTTTGTTAAACACCTGGTGGGCTGAGGCAGGGACAGGGAGGGTTTCACCCACCACTTAGGGTCATGGGCAAGAAACTCACAAGACTTGGGAAGAACAAAAAAAACCAACTGAATTTATTAACTATTTAGAACAAGAAGCAGGATACTAAGAGAGAGAGAAACTACACCTTAAAAAGACACTTCTCCCCCACCCCTCCCTTCTTCCCAAAGCCCAAAGTCTTTGTTCTGTACCTTCTCTCCCCCACCCACCCCCGGTGGCACAGGGGGGTAGGGAATGGAGGGTGCAGTCAGTCCACCGCTCCTTCCTCCTCAGGGGAGGGCTCCTCACAGTCTTTCCTGGCTCCAGCGTGGGGTCCCTTCTCACGGGAGAGTCCTTCTCAAATCCTGCTCCGGCGTGAGCCCTTTTCCACACAGGACCACAGTCCTCTGATGACTGCCCGGGTCTGGCGTGGGCTTCTCCATAATTCCTACGTGGGGTCCTCCACGGCTGCATCTTCTCATGGGCTGCACCAAGGGACAAACCGGGCATCGCCACGAATCTTCACCACGCTGCAGAGGAAATTCCGGGTGCGCTTCTCTCCTTCTTGCTTCCTTTCTCTGACCGGAGTGTTGTGTGGTCCTTCCTCTCCAAGTCCCGCTTCTCTCTCCGCCGCAGGTCTTCATCGGCTCCCAAGGAAACTGACTCTCGGGCGAGCCATGGCAGAGGCTTGGTCTATGGCAGGTCGGCTCACAGAAGCTGAGCAGGTGGCTGGACGGCCAGACAGGCCTGCCCGAGCCAGGCCCTGCCCAGGGCCATGCCAACCCCATTGTTCCGTGCCCCCTCTTCAGTATGTCATTCGCAGAGGCACCGATTGGCTCAGCCCTGGCCTGGGGTGGGTCCAGCCTGAAGCTGGGGAAACTTCCAGCAGTTTCTTACAGGGGCTAGATCGGTGGTACTCCTTTCCCCACTCCCCCTCCCGGTTACCAAACCCTTGGAGCTGGGGGGTGGGGGTGAACCCTCAGCAGTCACTTACAGGAGCCACCACTGCAGCCCCTCCCTTGCTGCCAGCAGAGCTGGAGTCCAGGAAAACCTTTTGCAGCTACTTATAGGAGCCATTGCTGTGGCTGCTGCTACCAGACAAAACACCCCACACAAAACCACAACAGTATGTCATAGTACTCAGGAGAAACAAATTTCAAGTTATGATAGTAAGAATTCAGCTTATTCACCCAGATTTTGAAATGTTTATCATTGATTTAGGGAACTTCTCTTTTTTTTTTTTTTCTACCTGCCTTCTGTTGCTCATGAACAAATTAGATACAGACGCTGTTTTCTACAGTTAATTAATTTGGAAGAGCTGGGACATCTGAGAACCTTGAGAACTACTGTGAGCAATGTGTGAACAGAAGAAAATGAAAATCATTGTCTAATGCTGAAGTCTAAAATTATTTGTCTAGGTTTAGTTCTATTTATAGCAATTTAAAACATGTAGAGAAGGCATCTTGTTAAATATTAGGTATGCGATGCAATACTGTATCTTTCTTCCTTTGTTTTCAGATGGAGAAAATCCTCCAAGAAACCATATGAATGAAGGAGGATATAACAAACCAGTTCATCACACTGTGATTAAAACTGAAAGTTCAGTGATAAAAACAGGAGTGAGACCAGAAACAAGTGCCAGTGAGGATTACGTGTCACCCCCCAAATACAAAAGCAGCTTATTGAATCGTTACCTAAATGACTCATTGAGACATGTCATGGCTACTAATGCAGCTATGATGGAAAAAACAAGGCAAAGGAATCACTCTGGTTCATTTAGTTCCAATGAATTTGAGGAGGAATTGGTGTCTCCATCATCATCAGAGACAGAAGGCAATTTTGTCTACCGGACAGGTAAGGGATTCTTTCTGTGTCACTTCTAATACAGCTGGCTTTGGTGGATGGTGTCACCTGGAATGAGTGTCACCTGATTGTAGCTTTTATGAGAGTAGATCACTCCTGTCCATCCTCTCACATGAGTGTGGATAACTCGTGACCACCCTCTCGTTCACTGGAGCAGTTCTACCTGCAGTACTGAGGTTAAATGCTGTTTTTGAGTGCTAATGAAGCTGGTTTGCTTTTTGAAGGGAGCTATGGGGCTGGTTTTTGAAGTGACACAGGCCATTTTTGTCAGCACTAAGACGAGCCTAAAGAAAGAGAAAACTCTTGAGCATTCTGTTACAATAAGGGGGGACTAGAGGAGGACTAAAGTACTTCATGGCCCCAGCTGGGAGGAAGAGGAGAGCTTTGAAATGTCAATGTAGCTGTTTGTGGTACTTATATGAGCCATATGGCCCCAGATGCACCTTCCCCTGTTGTACAGCATCTTTCCTGTCCTCAGAGTGCCTTCTCCAGTGCATGGCTCTTTGGTGTCCATGCATCTCTCAGGAACACAGGGATTAGTTTAGACCAAATTCTGCATCATGCTCCAGACACAGTGCACTGAGCTAAGGGGCCACAGACTTGGCCACTAAATATCTTTTCTTAGTGTTTTTTTGAAGGGTTACACAAAATTTATTATTTTAATCTTATCAATAAAAACATAAAAGTATTATTTATATCATCCGTTGTGTTACCAGTCAGAGGAGGGCACATGGGACTGCCTGGTTCATGCCAGTAAATTGCTGTAAATCAGGACAAGGTCAGGACTTGCTCGGGTCCTTGGGGGGCAGGGAATGCTGGAAGGCTCCTGTTGGGAAGCTTGTTCTATATTTTTTTGGGGACATAAGGCAAAGGCTGTTCCCCTGTCTTTGACAAAAATGAAGTTTTGAATCCCAAGCTCTGGAGGTCTCTGCCAGCATCTCAGCATTTCCACCCATCGCAGCAGCCCTTTGCATTGTCCCAAGGCCTTTCTTGGGGGGTTATTCTGCCAGGGACCACCCTGGGGGCAGCATCTCTTTTGGGATGGAAGAATATTGATGAAAAGTACTGGAGGGCTTTGCACTGAAGTTAATATAGATTTAGATGTTGTACCTGGTTTCCCTTGGTTTCCCTTGGCTTCCCTGGCAGGCAGGTTCAGGTGCCCCTCAGCTTTGCAACCTCTCAAGTTTGCAGCCTTTGCCCTCTTTCCTGGCACATTTCATATGATTTTGTTGTTGGTGGTGGTTTTTTGTTTTTTTGTCCCTATGGTGGGTCCAAGAGAATTTAGGGCTGAATGCTGCGGTGGGGTAGGAGGACATTGGTGTGTGAGTTGTCAGGGGATGAATTTGTCAGGGGATGACCAAGGGGAGAGTGGGGGCCCTGTAGAGAAATAGGATATAGTGGGGAGCAAGAATACTGCATGCGTGATGAGTAAGTTTCAAAACTAACTCTCTCTGTTCATTTAGCATGTTTTTTTTTTTTTTTTTTTTTGCAAAATACCAAATGCATTTGGTCCACATTATGGGCATATTTTCTGCCAAGTTTTATTTTTAAGTGAAAAGTTACTCAAGAACAGATGCAGCAGCTCAGATATGTAAACTTCTGTTTTTTCTGTACTTTTATACCATAACTTAAAAATGGACGCAGTGACTTTTTAAAAATTGTAATGAATTTGCTACTGGATTAAGTCCTTGCCAAGTTTCAAGCCACACTGAAAAATATAGTCTTTAATGAGAAGGCTGGGACAGGCACACTGTAACTGTGTGAGTTCACAGGCTGGGCTACAATGACTAAAAAACAGTATATTTGTCCTTAAAGTTCATAACTGACATTCCTGGAACAGCTCTTGAGATCGTATTTAAGTCAGTTCTTAAATATCTTTGTTACCGTTTTGATGTGCTATGGCCTTTGACAAGAACACACCAGCACCTCTCACGACATAGTTTTATTCTTTTTACACTTCCAAAGGAGACAAGCAGTAGCTTGCTGAGAGAAATAAAAAGATCATGTGCACGCACTATATTTTTTGGTATATCTTTCCTATATATGTGTGCACATTCAGGAAATAATAGGTACACATAGGCTTTTTTCAGTTACAAGATTACAGTCCTATTAATGATTTTCTGATGATGTTATGCAGGAACTGAGACCTTCACGAACAGAGCAGATATTTTCAAGTTAACATCCATTAATGAAATCTATTTACAAATAGATGCAGTTATCCAAATGATTGTTACATAGGAAGAGATAAGTAAGGACAATTTATTTTTTTATCTCTTTTCTCTGTAATTTGAATACCTGGGATGGCAGTTGTCAGTGCAGTAGTGTAGAAGACCTGTATCTATGTTCTCAAAAATAGCCGCAATCCATTTTGGTTAAGCAAAATAACAGAGTATGGCTGACTGTACCACTCATACCTTCCTGAAATGAGCAAGTGTATTTGTGAGATATCACCACTTATAAGAAGCTCCCCATTGCAGTTTTTTAAGTGAAACAGCTAATTTTTAACAAAAAGGGGTTGAAGCAGAATTGTGAAGTCCCTACTGGATGTTTTAGTTTATGAAGACATTTTGAATAGTATTTTGTAAAGCACAGAGTGAAAACTGATTGACATTTCATTTTTGCGAAAGCTTTGGCAAGGTTGCAGTGCTCCTAAGAACAGGCAGTCATTGGTGTTGAAGCAAATTCTTTATTGTGCTTCCCTGGAAAAGCAACTTTTTGTAGCAGATCGTGAGTAGAAAGTTTACTCACCACGTCTGGTTCATGTTAGGGGCTGGACTCTGATTTTAGGTGCATGAGCGTGTCCGGAGTGACTTTGCTGCCCAGTGCCCAGGGTCAGCATGGCCATGTGCATCTCAACAGCCGGCGCCAAATTAACAGGGTACAAGCGCAGTGTCCAATGACAAAACCAAGAAATTGCAGTTTAAAGTTTATAAGGAAAACAGGTTGTAGAGTTTCCCATTTCAGTCATTAACATGCTTATAAACACGGGACCATATGCTGCTCTAGATTCATGCAACTGGGAAATCACGTGTAGAGATCAAGGACAGGCTGTGTAAGTGACTGTCAGGAGAGCAGCCTGGCTTTATACCTCTGCAGGATTATTGCGAGCTTGTGGGGAGCAGCTTTAGTGCTGGGGCGGAAGCAGCGAACCCTGAGCCGGGCCCGTCACAGATGCGGTGCCCACGCTTCTCAGTCCTGCTCCAGCTGCACGGGGAGCCGGGAGCTGCCGCGGGAGGCAGCGCGGGCAGCCAGCGCGGGGAGGACGGAGCAGCCGGGAAAGAGCAGAGCCGTACTTGGATATGTCACATATGTAAGTGTTTCTATCGTAAGCTGACGTGCTTATGTATATAATGTGACATACGCGAGTGTGTTCACTTAAGGCAGAAAATTTCAGTTCAGATGAATCCTGGTACAGGTGTAATATATAAGTATATATAATTGGTCAAATAGTGTCTTAAACTGACCACTGAAAGGCTATGTTCAGTGTTTTTGTTTAGTTAAAAATCCATGTTGAAGAACAAGTTTTCATTAACTCCTTGGCATGCTGTCAGTCACAGCAGGTTCGCTGTGTGACAGGAATAACTGAAACCAGACTCGCCTATCTGTATTTGTTGTACAAACACACGCAGAAACAAGAGTCTGACTGCAACAAGCACTTCAGAAATCTGTAAGAAAAAGATCTAATGATGGTTATAGTGAGGCTGGATGTGAATCTAAAGTGGCAACGTCAGTCTTTGGTTTACGGGTTACTAAAATGCTGACTTCTTCTGTAATCACGCCACACTGCTCTGCAAGTACCCTGTCGTCAGTCACCGGCGGGAACAAAGTCTTCTGCATCATTACAGCACAAGGAAATGAAAAATCCCAACTTTCTGGGACAGCAGTGTCTGGTGAGCTGCGTTTGGTGAAGGAAAGCAAAAATGAAAACAAGAGAAAAAATGGCAGGACAGGGAGTTTACTAACTTTTTTCTGTAGGCAGATTTTCATTGATTTCACTTTATATGTTGCTTAGCACAGCAGAAAAGCCAGAACAAATAAAAATACTGAGGAAACTAAAGACTGCAGGCCTGGAAAGGAGGGTAACTTTAAAATTCTTGAATGACTGTTTTTGAAGATGTTTGATCTCTATTTTTAGACATTTATGCTCAGGGGTGTGTTTGGTTTCTGATGTTTTCATTACTGCTGCCTTTTTTCTTTCCTCTCACCTTCCCTTCTTTCTTTCATTTGAATGCTGCAAAGTTTGTGATTTATAAAGCATGATCGTGTGTTGTTTATTGCAGCACACTGAGCACTTCTGACGAGACCCTCGTCACGCTGCAGGATCAGGCCCACATTCACACAGAGCCTTTAAATGTAAGGGTATAGCTGTGCACCTAAGTACTACGGAGAGACACACGCAAAGTGCAGAACAGTGCTGTGATTTTGTGTGGTCCTTGCCAACTTTTCCTCGCAATTTAACATTTTTAGAAATTAACATGTAATTTTAAAATGAGCTATAAAATTTAAAAGCGTAATGCGAACACAATGGAACCTGTTTTCAGAAACGACTCGAGGGACCCGCAAAAAATCGCTAGTACTAGTGACTTTTGCAAGTTTGATCTAAACGGTGCTGGAGACCTTGGGGATACTTTAAAATAAATGGTAACCTGGGAGAGCTGAAGGAGGTCCTTGTTGCAGATCCTAATGTCATCCAGAAGTGAAATGGAAAAGGGGAATGTCAACTACAGTATAAAATGCACACAGCAGCATAACTGCAATTTGAACGTTACATAGTTAAGATCATATTTCTGCAGGAATTTTGTTATTACATGACCTGATTAATCGACACTGTGAAATAGCATGGAATTGAGAATTGAGGAGAGGATTGCGTTTAATTTGCTGTTCTGTTGTTTTTTCTGAAGAAAGATTAAAAGGAAACGGCTTTACTACGGGGACAGTGTCAGGTTTAATATACCAGATGTGATAGCCCAAACTTGAGAATTTTAAAGATC